TCTCTGTCCTTACCCTTCTTGATCAGCCTTGTCAAACAAACAGGTTCATGCTTGTCCTCTCTTGGCCTTTCTTGCATAGCATCTTTCCCTTGCTCCTTCTGCTCTCCCTTTCCCTCCTTCACTTCCAAATCTGCTTCTCAACCGAATCCCTGTTTCTTTTCTCAGATGACCAGCTAGATTTTCAAAATTAGCCTGTCCAACCTCTCCCCATATCCTTTCCTTCCTGGTCTGTCCATTAAAGACAAAATGTGCTATTTCTGTGCCCAGAACAGCATACAGTCTGGCTATTTCTCACTTTCTTATTATGTTGCTCAACTGTTTTCTTTGAATTGCTTCTAGTCACTATCTTCAGTTAGTCAATTGTAGAAACATTTCTTCACAAGCTGGAAGTTTCTTGCCCTTGTTCATGAAATACCTGTGTTGCACTTCCGTCCCCGAACTCTCTTTTTCAAGGCTATCCAAGTGTCACTGAGAAAGTAACTTTATCCTCTGTTGCTTCACAAAAAACACATGGAAAGCCATGATTATTCACACAGTGAATTTGAATTGTCTGACAACCTTGTGCTGCTTGACTGTTCAGCATGTGACTTGCCATTTGAATCTGTCTCCTCCTAGTCATCTGAAACAGCCACTGTAGGAAACCATGGAAGGAGTCGTGCAGAAATTGGGCACAAGAACAGGAAAAAAAAATCTCAGTAAGTGACATTTTCCCCCACAGAGTACATCAACTTAGACCTGGAAATTAAAAGAATATTTGTGAGCCATTTGAGATCTCAGGACGCAGAAAAACACTTGGTTTAGGGATTTATGAAGAAAATTGCTGCATATTTGACCTAGAAGTGAGGTTGAGGATGGAAAAATTGGATCCCACTAAGCACAAAGTTTACAAAAATGAGAAAAATTACTTGGCTTCAAAAGACATTCACAGTAGCAAAGTGTTGAAGCTGAGAGGATTTGTTTTCAAACAAGAAGTACTGAGATTGTCGTGGCTGGAGAGAAGACAGCAAGAATTCATTGCTTTCAAAAGATGTAGGGTGGAAAAAGTCTGGGTAGACATCTGGCAGGTATCTTCTGTCCAGCGTTATCTTTGGAGACTGGAAAGTGCAGAATGTCTCTGAGAAGGACTCAGACTTTTGAAGCAGGGAGTTTCCCTTTGTTCTTTGAAGTTAGAAGGTATACGGGGGAGATTTTAGAGCAGATAGATAGCCTCACAAACTGATGTGAGTAGAAAGGAAGTGCTGCTATCTAGGAAGAATTGTGGGCCTCATTGTGTCCAAGGAGAACAAGCAGCATTTCTGCCTCCATCAAAACAGCAGAGTCCTGACAGTAAAGGAATTGCTGGACCAAGAAGAAATCTGAGATCTGTCTGCTGAGTGATACCTGCACTCTCTTTTTTAAAGATATTCTTTAAAAACCCATTGCAGCTGATCCAAGGGGCAGTGGAGATTCACGCTGCTGTTAATAATGAACTGGTTCTTAGCTTCAGATTACTTTAAGAGAGGACATACAGCAGCTGGAGTTCTCCTTGTGAAACAGAAAATATTCAAAACTCCGGGCCTCCCGCAACCAGCTTGTGCTTGAAAATGCCTCGATTGTCTCTCTGACTTCTGGAAGATGCAGCGCACAACACATGAGCAACGCTTGCTACATTTGCCCATCCCTTGCATCTTTGTTAAGCATGTTTGACAGAAGGTTTGTGTAGGATGCCTTCTAGATATTTCACACTTGCCTGGGTCATTAGCGCCAAATCAAACGTCTCAAGAAGTACTGAGAAAGTGAGTTTATTTGCCAAAGACTTCAAGTGGGACATGTGTTTCACAATTTGCCTTAGCAATAGCCAGAACCTAAGGAAGGAGACGCTGAGACTCGGGGGTAGACGTCCATGTGCAATTCCCGCATTGAACGCCCGGGGCCGCTGTTGGCCAAGGCTGTGCGGGTATCGCTGCTGCTGGAGAGCCCAGTAAACACCAGTCAGCTGCTGCATGGCTGACGCTAGCTGACAGCCCAGCCGAAATATCCCGGTTGCACTGGAATACACCCTAGTTCAAAGGTTTCCCAATGGATATACTGGGAATTCCCACATTGAGAACCGTCTGGGAATGCCAAGAGCACAAGGCAGAACCGGGAATGTGAAGGAGAGAGACGATCACCCAGGTCCATCCCTGGAAGATTTGGGAGGATTTCGCCGCAGGTCTGGGATGACTGAGACAGAGCCCGTTGGTTGGTAAGCATTGACTTAATATCATGAGAAAGGTAGGTTTACATTTAACAGAGTGATGGGGAAAGTATTAACTGGACTGAATGAAGACAGAGAGAGAGAAGACCGCTTTATCTGTCAGAAAATGAGCCACAAACAGGACATGCAGCAGTGGTATTTACAGTATAACGGAGAACCAGAAGGCTGGGAACGATTCTCCTGGTTTTCCTCACGTTTGCATCCAGCTGAGAGCTCAGGGCAGCAGTTTCACGGGAGAGCTAGGAATTCAGGCGTTAGGTCTGAGTGTGAGAGAAGAGAGAAGAAATCCATCCTGGGAGTGGGCTGGGAATGAGAGGACGGGAGTGTTGGTCCCTCTTTGCACTTGGACGTGGAAACCACAGTGATTCGGGGAAGAATCTGTGCTTTTGAGCTGCAGGGAACTGCCCCTCCCAAGCTACACTATCCTCAGGGTGTGCTGGAGGTTGATGGGCAGTGGTTCCAGGGATGGGGAAGAAGCCTTTATGCAGGAGGACAACAAAACCTGGCATGGGCCCCCTGAGCTTTCCCTCGGTGGATCTGAATTCCCAGCTGGAAGACCAAGAAGAGGATTTTTGGAAACTGAAATTGCTCAGGCTGCAGTAGAATCTTCTTTTAGGAACACTGTGTTCTGAAATATGGAGACGTAGCAGGAACTGAGCAGAATATGTTGCTGTAGCTCTTTCTAGCATTAAGATTTAAATCTCAGAGTAAAGAGGAGAATCGGGTTTTGGTCATTTTAAGCTGCCTTCTTAGGATAAAGACATCATCGCTAAACCAAAAAACGAGGAAGCCTGCAACATCACTATGTGCTGAAGGAGATAAGTGAATTCTCTGATATATTTATGCAAATAATATTCTCATTATGGCTATAGTTCCTTAGTCTGTCCTAAAACATGGTGTGCCTTCGTCTGGTAGCATACACACTTCTTTTTTCCACCCGTCCACATTCATTTTACTGTTGTGACCCAACGGCAAACACCAGCATTAGCTATCCAATGGTGCATGGTAAGTGATCCTCTTTATTTCACATTTCTCTAAAATCTGAAAGAATATGAGTTTCAGTTTAAGAGCAGCATTTTCTGATGTGCAAAGACAATATTATAGCCTAAGAGCCTTCTTAAGGATCACTGTTTCTCTTTACGCCGTTCTACACTTGAAGCTGAAGGACACCTATATAAAATCGATATAAATCGATCCTCAGGGCCGGCGATAAGGGCGATAAAACCCCTGGGGCTTTTAGCCGGTCTCCGGCACGGATCCTGGCTCACACTCTCAGGCCGTGCTCAGGACCCCTCGCTCTCCCCTCCCACCTCCGTTTCCCCACGGTTGTTCCTCCCAGGTCCACTCTTGACCTCTCCCTTTTACCGAATTTGATCTTGCCTCTAATCCTCCCGTAATAGGCTTGGCATATTCCTAGAACCCCCCCTCAAACCTTCTGTAATCAGTTTACTCTTTCCTGTGAGACCCTTTCTCATAATCCCTGATATTTTTCCCCCCCCCCTTATCTTTTATCAAGTTTCTGGTTGAACCTCTTGGCGTTTACACCTGAATGGTTCCTTTAATGGCCCATCGATCGGTGCTGTTAGATCCCCGGTCTTTCCTGTTGTCTCCGTTAAGTCCTGCTCGTTAGCATTTGTGTATCTGGGGGTTTAACTGATGAGCTCTCCTGCTTGTTTCCTTGCCTTTTGTATTCCATACCTGTTGGCCTTGTATCCTTACATCGGTACACGAGTTCAAGTTTGACCTCTGAGTACAGGGACCTTTAAAATTTCCAATTTAAACTTAATTTCTAAGGTTGTGTGGTAACATTAGAGGAGAAAGGAGGCATCCCTCCAAAACAAGAAAACAGGTTGCAGCATTTCGATGTTTGCGGACATTTTTCACGAATTCGTTAAACAGTAAGACACCTTATCATGGCTGTGTCAGCAGGCGGCAGGGGAGAAGAAAAGAAAATTAAGGAGAAAAAGGCTTTTCACCCAGAAAAGGGTTAAAGTTGTGTGTCCTTTGGGCGAAGTGTGATACACAATGCGAAGAAAACAAAGTTAGGATGATGTATCCTAGAACAGCGTTATCTAGTGTGATGCTGAGCTGGGGTGATGGTGAAGTATTTACTTATGGGACCTTTCCCTGTAAGCTCTCTGATACCAACTCTCAGATTCAATAGCGGTGCTCCCCTGACCCCCCCACTCGCAAACTGTCCCGTGCTGATTAATGAGTGGAGAAGAGAAGGAAAATCCCGCAATGTATCCCGTGGAAGTGGCAGATCTCGCAATACCTACACAAGACAGAGGGAAAACCAAAAGCTGTGTATGAAGAGTTCGCGGTTGCGAGCTGGGCAGTGATACCCAGAGCAGCGCTCTGTATGCGGGGAGGGAGCCTGCTTCCAAAGGACAAGAGCATTTACACTGCACCTATCGGCTTCGGTTTGGCACGCAGATTGCAGAATCAAGCAGCAAACTCCAACCCCGCAGAGCTGCTCCTAAAATGGGAAGAGAGAGGAACTATTCCCCTTTGTGACGCTGGGTGGGGATGTTGGCCACGGACCGGCGGTTTCTCTGCCCATCCCGGGTTTACAGGCACAGGGAGACCAAAAAAAAAGCCGTGTGAGCTGCTCGGGAAGGGTGGTTGGGCACGGAGTCGGGCTGCCTGGGGGGCTTTCAGACCCCCTTACCCTGGGATTCCTGCCAAAAGCCCCTCTGCCTCGGACGCTGCTTAAAATATGCTGGGAATCACGGAGGACGGCGGATGGCTTTTCTGGAGAGTAATGGCGAGTGGGAGACGGAGCAGGGACAGCAAGAGGCAAGTGATCGTGTTTATTCTGTGCGTTTACGTGTGTCAGAGCGGGGCCGAAACCCTCCGTTATTCTTTGCCAGAGGAAATGGAAAGGGACTCCTTTGTCGCCGATATTGCAAACGACCTGGGGGTTGCTCCGAGCCAGCTCGCAGCTCGCAAGGCCCGCGTTGTGTCCGAGGGAAACGAGCAGCTTTTCCATCTCAATCAAAACACCGGAGTCCTGACGGTAAAGGAGTCGTTGGACCGAGAGGAGATCTGTCCGCAAAGCGATACCTGCACGCTCTTCTTTAAGATATTCTTTGAAAATCCCTTGCAGCTGATCCGGGGGGAGGTGGAGGTTCGTGACGTGAACGACAACTCCCCCGTGTTCCCGGAGAAGGAGATGGTTTTAGAGATTCTGGAAACGGCATCTCCTGGGTCCCGTTTTCCTCTGGAAAGCGCCCAGGACAAGGACGTGGGCAGTAACGGTTTGCAGAACTACAGCCTCGGGTCCAACCCGCATTTCTCCCTCGCTCTCGGAACAGGGAAAGATGGAGTAAAATACGCGGAGCTCGTTCTACAGCGGCAGCTGGACCGCGAGGAACAACGAGAGATGAATTTACTCCTCACCGCCACCGACGGGGGCTTGCCACCCAGGTCGGGCACGGCTCAGATCCGGATCGTGGTGCTGGATGCCAACGACAACATCCCGGTCTTCGGTCAGGAGTTCTACGAGGTTCACCTGGCTGAGAACAGCCCCCTGGAGCAACTGGTGGTCAGGGTCAGGGCCACGGATCCCGACGAAGGGTCCTATGGGAAAGTGCGGTACGCCTTCACCCAGACATCGGAGCGGTCCCGGCAGCTCTTCGAGCTGAACCCTGCCACCGGGGAGATACGGGTGGCGGGCAGCTTGGACTTCGAGGAAGCGAAAAACTACAAGATGGTGGTGACAGCCACGGACGGAGGCGGCCTGTCTGCGCATTGCAAAGTGGTGGTGGAGATCCTGGACGTGAACGACAACGCCCCGGAGATAACGCTCACCTCCCTCACCGCCTCCGTTCCCGAGGACGCCCCACCCCGCACCGTGGTGGCCCTGTTCAGTGTGCGGGACCGGGACTCCGGGGACAACGGCAGGACGGAGTGCGCGATCGACGGGGATTTGCCCTTCAGTCTTAGCCCTACTTTTGATAATTACTACGAATTGAGAACAAACACGGCGTTGGACAGGG